GCAATCCTTCTAAAAGATGGGATGTCACCAATTAGTGTCCGACCTTACCGCTACCCCCATATTCAAAAAGATGAAATCGAGAAGCTGATCAGGGAAGATGTTGGAGGCAGGGATAGTCAGACCCAGCGTGAGTCCTTTCTCTAGCCCCGTCCTACTAGTCAAAAAGAAGGATGGGAGTTTGAAGTTTTGTGTGTATTATAAGGCTTTGAACAAAGAAAAAGTATCGGATAAGTTCTCTATTCCGGTGATTGATAAGTTGCACGGAGCAATAGTGTTTTCTAAAATGGACCTGAAGTCGGGCTACCACCAAATCAGAATGAAAGAGGAGGATATTCAGAAGACGGCCTTCAGGACGCACGAGAGGCATTACGAGTTCTTGGTAATGCCATTTGGGCTCACTAATGCCACTGCTACTATTCAGACCTTGATGAACAGAGTTTTCCGACAGCACCTCAAGAAGTTTGTACTGGTCTTTTTTATGACATTTTGGTGTACAACCAAACTGAGGAGGAGCACTTGGAGCATTTGAAGGAAGTTCTTAAGATCCTACAGGAACATCAGCTAAAAGCTAACCTAAAGAAGTGCAGTTTCGCCCAGTCCAGGGTAGAATATTTGGGGCATATGGTGTCCCCTGAAGGAGTGGCAGCCGACCAGTCCAAGATTGAGGCAATGCAGAAATGGCCAAGGTCTAGGAATATGAGGGAGTTAGAGGGGTTTCCTAGGTCTGACTGGTTACTACAGGAGGTTTGTGAAGGGATATAGTACCATCGTGTGGCCTTTGACTGAGCAACTGAAGAGTGACATTTTTTGTGGGGAGAGGCGGCAACACAGGCTTTTGAGAGATTGAAAAAGGCCATGATGACGGTTTCAGTGTTAGCTCTTTCAGATTTCAGCATCAGGGTATGGCTTGGGAGCAGTGTTGATGCAAGATCAATGGCCTGTAGCCTATTTCAACCAGGTGCTATCGACCAGGGCTCGCTTGAAGTCAGTATATGAGAGAGAGATGATGGCCATCATCTTAGCCATTCAGAAATGGCGCCCTTATCTTTTGGGAAGGCACTTCATTGTTCGTACGGACCAGAGGAGTTTGAAATACTTGTTGGAACAACGAATGGTGACCGAGGAACATCAGAGGTGGATGTCAAAGCTTTTGGGCTATAACTTTGAGATCCAATACCAGGGGTGGAAAATAAGGCGGCCGACGCCTTATCCAGATATGTGGGGGAACTCCAGGAATTGGCCTTATTTGTTCCCTTGATGATCGACTGGGGGCATCAAAGAAGAAAGCATGCTGAATGAAGAAATGAAAAAGATCAGGGAAGATTTGAGGAAAGACAAGAGTAGCCATCCTAGTTATTGTATTGAGGGGAAGAGAATATTGTATCAAGGGAGGTTTGTGATGCCACGAACCTCCATACATATTCTCAACTTGTTGCATGAGTTCCATGGCAGAGCAGTTGGAGGCCATTCAAGAGTTCAAAAGACATACAAGAGGCTATCAGCTGAGCTCTACTGGAAGGGGATGCATAAAGATGTTGAGGAGATGGTGGCGAGGTGTGAAGTGTGCTTGAGATCCAATACCAGGGCTGGCTGGACCGGTCTAGCCTGGACCAGTCCAGGTCTATACTAGGCGGAAGAAAAATAGGAAGAGGGGGGCGGAACTCCTGTGGGCCCCATGATGGACTTAATGCAATTTTTTGGGGGAAAATTTTGAATGTAAGGGCTGATTAGGTAAGTTGTAATTCTCCTTTGATGTTAATTAGGGGAGTGGGAGGGGAATTAGGATTATCTTGAATTGGAATGAGATTTGAGATCTAGGATTATTGTGCTTTGGGCTCTTGGCGTTGCCGGAGATTTGGAGAGTTATTCTTCCTCTCAAATTGAAGAACAATTGTATCTTTGTTATTTTACTTCATCTTCTAGTGGAATACAAATCTCTACTTGATTTTTTCTCTCAGATTTCCCTGGATTGTGCTGTTTTCCTGCTGTCCACAGCAGTATTCTCACTGTTTGATCACCGATTTGGGTTAGGGTTGCTTGCGAACTCAAGTATTTCCTATCAGAATTTTCATATTGATTTTGTAAAATCGAATTGGTTAGGTGATCAAAGATAATGCTAAGTTATTGAAGATATGCATGAAGAAACAGTGACTTACATTAACACTAGTTAAAGAGTGAAGAAATGATTTTCAATCATACGAAGGCTAGCATCCCTCACGATAAATTAAAATAACTCAAACAAAAAATTGCTTTCTCTCTAAGGTAATGGGTTATAAATAGGCTAGTATCTCTTAATATACTTAGACACTCTAATATGCCCGCGGGGCCACCTAGCCGGCCCAAACCAGCCCAACCCTCGCAGAATCAGCCCTTTGGCTAGTCTGAACCAGGGGCCATAGAGGGGGAGATTTCAGCCCCCTTTGTGGGGCTCAGAGGAGCTATTAGTCATTGAGGAGGAATCAAGGGGGAGTTGTTCAAAAAGGTTTCCTAATTTTGTTTATGCTGTTTTGGAGGATTTTAATTGTTTAGGAATATTTCCTAATTATGTTTATGTTGTTAAGGTTCCAATTCTATTTATTGTGTGTAAGGGCTACTTAACGGGGTGTTTTATCTAGGGTTAGGAAGATATGTGCTAAGTTTATTTTCTAGGATTTGTGGGAGAGCCAATCTACCTCTCAAATAGTAGATCAACCGTATCTTTAGTTATTATTAAAAAAAGTAATAAAAAATCAACCCCCATGTTTGTATTCCTACATTTTTCTTCTATTTATTTTACTGTTTTTACTTCCAAGATGCATTAATAAATCAGTATAGGAAAAACAATAAAACAATCGTCATATCAATACTACCAATTAGTAAAGCAATCATATAAAGTGGTAAAAACTAAAGCATCGGTAAAGAACTGTTGAATTCAAATAAAAAATCAATGCCATAAAATCTTATAACAATGTATATATACTATCCAATCAATCTATATCAATATCATATTGGTATATTAATCACATACTCAGTATATCGCGTGCTCAGTATGTCACATGCTCATTATTAGTAATCAGTATATTTCAGTAAAGTATTAATGTCCATAATTGTATCAGTAAAGTAATCAGTAAATTTCTATTCTCAAAGCTTGTATAACATGCTTAAATAAAATACCTACCAAGTAAAATGCACAATGTCAAAACATAACCTAATTATCATGGATTGTGTAAAATATCATTTCAAGACTTAAATCGTATAACGACATTAATTTTCAAAGTTCAGATTATTTTCTATTCAATTAAAATCATAGAAACTTCAAAAAACTCGGTATAAACTTTTCAAAAAAAACTCAAAACATTCATAATCACAATCTCCCTAACATATAAAAATTTACGAGGTGAAAGTTTTACCAGTGTAAAATTATCCACATTTTTCAGTAATGGATATAGAACTTTAATAAGAAAATCTGAAAAAACTTTGAATTTTTAAAAACTAATATAGGCATGATGTGACCTATCTTGATCCGAACAATTTTCCTAACTAGCCTGACAGGTTAAAAAAAATATAAAGCAGCTCAAATCGGAGTTTCTCTCTCTTAAAAAACCTCTCTCTACTTCGACTGTCTACATGCGTTGAATGAGTGAGAATAGTGATATTAAAATATATTAAATAAAGATAATGGCCTAGCGCTATGGCGCTATCATCTAGCACTCCGAAGCTAGTTCATTTTCAAAATACTCAGAATGGAGCGCTATAATGTCAATATTTGGTGTCAAGTACTGTAGCAGCGCCAAGGTGCTCGGACACTCAACGCTGAGATGCTCAAACAGTAATATTTTCAAATTTTGTCAAAATTTGCTCCAGATTCTTGAGACTCATTCTAAAGCACACAACCATTTTCAAGTGTTAAAAGACTTCCAACCATATGCAAATAACTTCAAAATATACAATTCCATATTTTACCCTTTTTAATTTCAAATATTTACTTTTATATTTTTGAATTGTTACAAGTTTAAGAATTGCTTGTAGGAGCGTTTTCGAGCTATTCGAGGAGACCTATACAAGCAATTCTTTGTCTTGACTCAAGTGGGGATCATCATGGAGTACAAGGAAAGATTTGAGTTGTTGTCAAGACGGTTGAGGGGGATTTCAGAAGCGATGTTGGGGGAAAATTTCATGAAGGGCCTAAAGCCCGACATATAATGTAACCTCTGAATGTTGAGGCTGAGAGGGTTGAGGGAGATGAAAGAACTAGACCAAATGGTGGAGGATCGAAGATAGATGGAGAGGACCGTAGGAGCGAAGTCACGGGAGGCTCCTACAGGAGTGTCTCGACTTCACTGGCACCAAGGACCTAGACGTGCCATTCCAGAGGGAGGCACCAAGGGAGAAGAGGATTCATGTAGCCGACCCCACATAGTGGGATAAAGGCTTGATGTTGTTGTTGTGTTGTAGTATTAGACCAAGATTTATTTAATCATAGCGGCTTACGTCAATAGAAAATCTCAGTCCCACACATCCAAAGTAAACCCTATATAGAAAATTTTCTCTCTAGGAGAAATTTTTAGAAAAATTAGATAACATGCTTTTAAAAACCTCATATTGTTTTGCATCTTTTTTTGAAACTCCAATAAGAGCCGGTAATGGGATCACCCAAGCTCCTAAGCACATCCAAAGACCATACCAGGTTCATTAAAAATGATAAAAATTATAGAAACTTATGCTGATTTTCTTAACTAGCAACATGAAATGGAACATAGCACAGATCTAGAAACTCCAAATGGTAGTTCTTTAATTGCAAAGAAAGCATGCTTCCAGTAAAATATAGATGACAAATAAAGAGCAACATACTGTTGATCAAGAAAACTATATGCTCTCACAAAAATAAGCTCAGAAGTAACATGATCTTCACAGAAGCACGAACACAAATCAGCGTTGAAGAAAACAATATAAATTCATAAACTTAAGCGTATGAACATCTTGAAAGAGCAGAGCAAATTACTGGAAACAAAGAATCATACCAGTCCTCTTAGCCTTATAGAAACAGGTCGATTTTCTAAAGCATCCGATACTTTCAAAGAAATGTCCTGCTTAGTGTAAAGGATACATTTGAAGAAAAAAAAAAGGACAAACCACCTAATATTAATCATCTATTCAATAAAAGAAAGGATACCTTAAGAATCTTTGTAGCCAAAGCAACACGATCCTTATTCCATAACTTCAGCATAAGCACAGTCAAGTGAAATGTTTGAGGTTTAATAAATATGGACCTATCAATACCCATTGCTGTAAATAATATGATCAGTTTCTACTAAAAAAAAAAAAAAGTTTAAAGGAAAAAATTCTAGAAGAATGTCAACATTGATGATATAAGCATAATCTTTACATGCTATAAGATTAATCAAATCATTGCTAAAAGGAATGCTCCTTAACATTTTAACACAAAGAAAGAAAATTTTTTAATTGTACAACAAAATTGGTGGACAATTTAAGATGTATAAGTTTGCTAAAGCAAATTCAGCACCAAAAAAACATAGCACAAAGATACTGAATAGATGCAGATGTTGGCATAGCTGCGGCATAGGGACAATGTTGTGAGGGATGAAGGGATATTAGTTTTCCTAGGAACGTTTCCATTTTTTGTATGAGTGGAAGACCATACGTAGGGAGAAGAGGGAGGAAAAGAAGGTTTGTAACCAAATGCTGTACTTTCTAGCAACACAACTTGACAAAATTAAGAATTGTTGCTTTTCTATTAAGTTAGGTCATGACAAGATTGCCAAATAACGCATAGATAGAATTGAAAGTGAGACAACCAAGTCGAATGGAAAATAATTTACTAAAGCAGATCATAATGCAGCACCTGACGAGGTAGATGACTTTAACAACTTTGTGCCATCAGCATCCATATTTAATCCCACATTTTCATTATTGTTTTGAGCTTTGAGCTTAACTGTGGTATTTGGACCTTTCAAATGTTTGGAATCATCATCTTTTTCATCAGAAGAATCATCACATGAACTACCATCCATGTCACCAGGTATCATATTAACTTCTTCAAGTACAGATTTCTGAAATCCTTCTAGCTTCTCTACCAGTTCTTGGTGGATAGCAAGCGGGAGAGATACAAAATGGGAGTAATCAAGGTTTGGGCTTTTCACTGCCTGAAGTTTGAGACAAGTTAAAAAAAATTCAAATAAGCAGTAGCGTTAAAAAGAAGAGCACATAAAAAATATAGCAGGAAATTATGATAGAAGTAAGAAAATAAGCCACAAATAACCAATAATTGTCATATGCATACCCCCGCAAAGGCATGATATTTTACACTACATATTCAGCAGAGTTACAACAACAACAACAATAACAACAAGCTTTTATCCCACTATGTGGGGTCAGCTACATGAATCTTTTTTCTTCATTGTGTCCTGTTACGAGTCAAATTCTTATCTAAATCTAATAAAGAAAGATCATCTCTAATATTTTCTAACCAAGTCTTTAGCAGAGTTAGTGGAATGATTTAATAAAAAGAAAATTATTGAAATTGCATTTTAATTACTAAATGGGATATTTTCATATTAGGACCCATTTGATCATCTTGTGCATAGAACATGTTTTAGAAAGGAAGATTTTTTTTTCACTCTTCTTGCGTTCTTGCATGTGAAAAGAAGCCATCATTTGAGGTCATGGTGGAGTTTGAAACCCACATTGATTTCCAACCAAATGGAATCTACCAAAATATAAGCAACCAAATTTTGGTCATTACAAAATAAACAAGTCATTTGTAGTTCTAATTTTTTATTTCTTCAATCAATGAATAAATTCATGACTTCCCAAATATCTCCAACCAAAATCTCCTAAATCCACAAGGCACGTTTTAAAATATGGAAATAAAGCTACGAATCCCAAAGGTCAGTAGTTGTTGGCTTTGAGAACATTAGAAGAGCAGTTTTTTTTTTTTTTGGAAAGTTTAGCAGCAGTCACGGATAAAGATCACTCAGCATTACAGATTGAAAATGCCAGTGCTGGCCAGTCACTTTAGAAGGGTAATATCCTCATAACCACAAGTTTTATCCTGAAATTCCAGACTAGCTGAACTTAATAAGATGGAAAGTAAAACTTTGGGCTGCCACCCAACAATGTAATCGGTAAAACTGCTAATTTATTGCCTAACATCATCAAAACATATACGATGAAAAACAGTACCCAAATGAAAACTAGAAGAAAAGCTTGAAAATTGCAGGTTCACGCAAGGAGATTATGAACCAAAAGTGGGAAAAAATGATCACTGATGCAACATAGAGAACAACAGATAACTGAGCTTAAAAAACTAATTCAAATCATTAAGTCGTGGAAAGCAAAAGCATGAAAATGCTACATGCATAATTACCACAAAAAATGGTTAAATTAATTAAACTGTTTTATTATGCTAAGCATAATGTTATGAGGGCATCCAACCTGTTCAAGTACGTTTGTAATTTTTTCAGATGCTCTATTGACATTTTCCAGGGATGCAGCTTCAATAACTGTGAAAAAGAACCAGAAAAAGATGCAACAGCAATCTAATAACGAAATAGTAAACCCACAAACGTAAAAGATAGACAACAAATGAAATCCCATCAATCCATCAGTGCATTCATCAATTACTTAAAAGCTCTTACTGCATGTCGTTGTCCTACTCCCTTCAACATATGATTTCACAGCTAAAATTACAATTCTCTAGTTTTAAAAATAGTCCAAATTTTAGATCTCTTAAAGCTATTTAAGCAATCTTGATAATAACAGAAGGATGAAAAAGATCAGTAAGAGAAGCAAATATCTACATTCATAAGGTGCACTAAATTAGCTTGATGAATTAAAAGAATGGAAACCTAGGAAAATACCATCTTGACTGAGAGATCATGTTCACTGTCCTTTGCTATAAGAGGGACAATTTTAAAAAACTTATTACATAGTGGCGCAAATGGTGTGCTTTACATCTTACCAACAGAACCATCACCCTTAGCTGATGGAAGTATAATTTTCACACCCGTCTCTTCCTCAATTTGCTTTTGTGTTAATCCCCTGTAAGCAGAAAGTTAAAAATAACCACTGCATGCAAATTCTGGAAAAGCAATCTAGACCAGTTTGGTAACACTGTGTGCACATAGCGTAGCAGTTGGTAATGAAGTGGCAGGCAGCTTTCCCGCTGCCTGCATGTTCAAAGTAAATGTCATTACCAACTGCACAAGTGGGTGCAAACTGTGGCAGTGTTTCTATTTACCACAGCCATACCAAAAAAAGTTTAAGAAGGTGATTCAGAATGCAATATAGAAAAGTTAAGTTTCAAATTCAAAGTTTTAAGGTTGAATATTAGAGATCAAAGAAAAGAGCTCGTTGTATGCTTTACCATTTTCCTTTTATAAAACGAATCAAAGGAGCATCAACCTGCATAAAAGGGAATAACATTAAGCAAATTTGATGTTGCAAAAATTTGTAGCAAGTCTATTAAAATGATATATGTGGCTGAACTGGAGAGGCAAAAGGTAGCTTCAAATGTGACAACTAGAAGAGTTGAAAGGCAATTTTTTTAACTCGCTTCTTAAGTATAAGCAAAGAAATTCGGTAAAAGTCATGGAAGTTAAGTAAATATGCATTTTCTTTTACCTAATCATAAAAATAAAAACGTCATTTTCTTAATAATTCTATAACTCGTTTTTTTGTAAACTAAACCAACCAATTTGACCAAGCAAAATAAACGTTTACATTTTTTTTCTTACGACTACAAATGACAGCTTCCTGGCATGCTTCAAAGTTGGCAGAATTTGAAATGCGATGTAGTACATTCGACACTCATCATCGTCCAACATCATAACGTTTGCATACTAAAAATTCTGAACAATGTTTATGATTAATTCATTTTCCACAAAAAAAAAAAAAAACAAAGCTATGGACTGAGACCACAAGAGAAAAAATGTATGAATAAATAAAGCCAAATAATTTTCAAATAGCAAAGAAAAGTGCCTTTTTTATGTAAAGGTATGCATAGATAATCATATATGCAATTCTACTATAATTCTTTCAGCTAGTATTTCAGAATAGCATCGCAAATCAAACATCAGCCAAAAATACAAAGAGCTATTTTGGATGAAAATATTACGGAAGATATTTCGTAAGTCATTAAATGAAGATGAATAAGAAATTTCTCTAGGGCCAAGTTCTCAAATGTGATATGCTCTAATTAGAAGCTCTAGGCTTTAGGTGAACTAAATTACAGAGCGGTGATGCACACACTTTGAGCATTTCATACATAACCCAACAGGCTAATATAAAAGAGCAATGACACAAACAAAACTGTTAATTCTTACAAAATTTCACCACTATTAAAAGACTTACTGCTTCAGCTTTACTACAGATTTATCATTCTAATTCTTCTTTGCTTAATCTTCCATGCAATACTCCTGCTTAATCACAGGTCAAACTTTGAAATAAGTTCATGGTTAGATATTACAGATACAGTTTGAGCACGTCATACATAACCCAACAGGCTCATATAAAAGAGCATCAGCACAAACAAAACTGTTAAATTCTTACAAAATTTCACCACTTACAAAACTTACTACTTCTGCTTTACTACAAATTTATCATTCTGATTCTTCTTTGCTTAATCTTTCATGCAATACTCCTGCTTAATCACAGGTCAAACTTCGAAATAAGTCCATTGTTAGATATTACAGATATGCCACCATGTCAAGCTGGTACAAGGTTGTGAATATTCTTCTCTGATAAGAGGAGAAATGGTAGGTCAACTAGTGTTATAGGGAACTTAGGGATTCTCTTTATCTAGTATTGAAGCTTATGAAGGTCAAACACAAGAAGGAAATAAATAGTGTAATGATGTTTGTTCTAAGTTTGTTAATCAAGGCCGTTACTATGAGGGTTATGATTGCGCTTTTAGTTGTAAGAAGGTGCTTACAATAAGTGTTTGAAGAACTGAAAGCACAATATCCATTATGGTGAATGGTAGTACCTAAACATTATATAGAGCTAATAATCAAAATCAAATGAGTTATCAGAAAAGGGACTTGGTGAAACATTACTTCTCATTAAACAATGAATTTTAAACCCTCTGTTATTCTATGTACTAAGTGACAACAAGTACTGTATCAAACAGGTCTTAAAGACTGAAACTCATCTACAACATCATCAAATAAGTCTGCCTAGAGAATAAGGTGGATTACATCTTTGGGTCCATTTGGGACAGTTTTTCGTAGCTTTGCTTTCCAAACAATTGACACAATTATGTTTGGCTATAACTCTCTTGCGGTTTTTTAAATGTTTATATAATGGAAAGAAGGTTTTTACATTTAGATATATTAATGTGGTAGATATAAGCAAGTTGTTTTCTGAATTTCTAAAGAGTGAAAAATCTCTAAACCCCACAAAAACTTTCAAAAAATTTATTTTTTTCATAACAGTTTTACAGCTACTTTTACATATTGTTGCAGCTGAAGATGGCATCTTCCAAATGAACTTTTCAAACATCCACCGCCAATCACTGAGTATAAAGTGTTACCATCCGTCAAATGTAGAATCAACTATAGAAGTATATGTAACAGTTATCAAGATTAAAAAATCCCAGGGTCCAATTACTGGCTTGAATGTGGAACAAAAAAGTTTATGAAGTTCCATAAACTCTGCATTTTTTAGTAAGAAATATTTAAGAAATTACTAAGAACACATAAACAGAAAATGAGTATTTTCTAAGCATACCTGAATAGAAATTGAGTGTTTTATATCCTTATCGACTATCTCAGAATCTTTGTTTGGCTTCAAGACAGTTAGAGTTTCTCTAATATCTTCGGCCTGCTGTATGACTGTATTAGAATCAGTAATAGTTGTGTTGTCATGGTTTTCTGAGCAATTTTCTGTTTTGCAGTAAACAGGTGTGGTCTCATTTCCTTCTAGAGGCTCAGTCTCACTCTTGTTATCCATAGCTTCAGAAGTCAATCTCACAACCAAACCACCAGTTGAATCATCTGGAGCAGAATCTTCACTATTGAAATTATTCATAAGGGGATCAGTGGAGCCACTTTTCATAACTTTTGATATGTGTACTGCAATACCAATATAATTACAAATATTACATACAAATGCGACAAAGAAGTTACATTTCCCACATCGGTGATGGATATTCAAAAAAAAAGCAAGAGCATGCTTAACTCCTATGTGGCAGATATAACTCACCGAGCAACAGTTTAATACCTTAAACATAAAAAAGTTCCAGCTTATTTGTAGAAAATACAATGTTGGACGATATTGATGTAAAAAGACCGCTCTGATACCAAATGACATAACAAGATTGTTCTAACACCAAATGATGTTATCAGTTTGCTATAATATGAAATGATGTAATAAGATTGCCTGGATACCAATTGATGGAATAAGATTAATTTGATAACAAATTGATCAAAACAATCACGATGAGAATTACTAGAGGTAAAAAATTTTATCCATTTTGTATAATTAGACACATGATGGTATCATGTAGGTCTTTGATTAGAGAAAGAATATATGACACGTCAGTATTACATAGTTTATTTCAAAACTTAAATTTATTTTAAAGTTTTATTACCCTGCCCTTAGCACTATCTAAATTAATTATCTCAGAGTAATACACCCAAAGTTGGTTTAGAACAAACAAAAGAAGCCAAAGTCAAGGTGTCTTCCTCTTTGGGCATGTGGATGATGCAAAGTAGCAAATCTTATCTAAAGAGAGTAAGGTAATAGATCAGCCCATACCAACTCAACATGGTGTGATCGCATCAACTTAGTATGGATGTCATCTCCCTTCTATGTTTGTGGGGTTGAACACACCATAGCCACTCATGAGCCTCCAATTAAAAGACTCAATTGATTTTTGCCAATACTTTGCTCCGAGGAATAGACTACTAATGATAAGCCCACCGGTTGGTTTAATGGTTGTTGGTAGCTAGAAAAATTCATGAAGCAACCACCCTTAGAAGAACTTGTAGTTGTCGTCAAAGCTTGCCCTTGATATCAAAATGTTACTCAAGGGGGATATTGACATTTCCTACAATTTTTTTTTTGGGGACGGGCAAAGGCAATGTCGTCCAACATTTTCTGGTAGAATAAGAGAATTCAACCCTCCTATAATTTTATTTTAATAAATATGAATAAGATGGCACTAACTGTACCCCTGATACACTTTAAATGGTTAAAATCAAAACAGCTAAAGTTATATCATAATTTTTGAGCTATATGATGGGGCAAATTTGAAAAGAATTTCACTCATTCATGCACACTCTCACTCCCTCTGATGAGGACATTAGATTTCGACACGTGTACCATTACCGAAGAAGCAGATCAACGGCTACGATCCAGAGCCTGTACTTCTGATTTATTTGCATTTTTTTTTATTTTATGCTTGTATTTCTTATTTCCTAGTTTGCCCCTGTGGGCATTGAGTCGCTTATGTAGCCCGGAAGGGCATTTGTGTCGTTTCATTTTTATTTCTTTTTGGCCTACTTATATGAGGCCTCATGCATTGTAATGAGTTTTTGATGAATGAAAAAATTTGCTCTTTGTTCTCTTTGTGAGTGCATTCCTCCAAGATCTCTTAGTGAGTTTGTCGGAGAAACTAGATCTCTTTGTGAGTTATAGTGTTCGCCCAAGTTAATTGTGTGGAAATTCGGGTTGAAGCTAATTGAGGTTAGTGAATTCGTAGCCGCTCGAATCCCTCCTAGAAAATTCCCTCTCTCCCTCCCCTTGCCCTTGCCGCCGCCTAGCCCAAGACCTCCCAGGCCGCCGGCCACTTGGCTGCCACCTCCCGCCGGCCGGCCAACCCCTAAAACTGAAATTAATTTCAGTTTTTAGAATAAAACCCAATCCCCTCTTTCTCTATACCGTCGGCCTCCCCTCTTTGGCTCCCCCACATTACTCCTCCATCAAGGCCTTAATTGTATTCAATTTGAAATCAAATTTCAAATTGTTTCCCTCTCAAATTAATCTAAATCTGAGAATAATTTCAGATTTAGAGTTAATTCCATCCACCCCAACCAAATCTAGCCACCAAGAAATCTAGTCTCTCCCCTCCACCTCTCCAAGCCAGCCACCACCTCTCCTCTCTTGGGTTTTCTTGTCGTACTCTCTCATCTCCATGCAAATCATGCATGGCGGAACCCGAATGGAACTTTGGGTTTGTGCATGACGATCGAGATCAAGTTGACATCCTCCAATCGTCATTCTTTGACGTGGGCTTTGATTTCGACGACACCGTTGAATACTACATCGACCGTATCCAATACGCCTTAGTTGACGTGATCGACTAGCAAAGACCAAAGGGACGTTGGATCATCATTAGACGACCATCTTCCTCCACCACTCCGGCCATCTTTCCAAGAACGACGATCTTTGGTTCCTTCTTCCTCGGAGTGACCTCGATTCTAATGTGGAGACTCTTCTGCCGCTAAAGCCTAGACTATTTGAGCGTATGGGCTCCAAAGGTGAAAGCTCTCATTATTAAATTGTGGATTGTTGGTTAATAGCTCTTAGTATTACTACTATTTTTGCTTATCTACTAGGTTTTGGTTAATCTACATATGCTCCTTCGCCTAAGCAAATGAAAAACTAAGATTCTTTATTGAATTGCCTTGTTATTACAATAAGCTATTGAGTGGAATTACATTACCAACTTGTTCTTAAATTCCTTAATGAGCTCCTGCGCATTTGGTTTCACATCACCCTTCCTCTCTAATTATCACATAATTTATCTAATGAACTATTTTAAAATATTATAATATTAACTACACGGAAAATTAAAGTAGCAAACATAAAGATAAAATCATTAATACAATATACAACCAAGGGTAAATATTCTTATTCTATAGACATGATATGTTAAAATGATAAATAGTTCAAATGATCATAGAGTATTTCTAAAAAAAACAAAACAAATGCCCTTAAATAATAATTTAGCAGTCCTATTTTTAATAATTTATAATAAAATAAGTATAATAAATAGATTTATTAGTTTACTTCACACTAATTATATTTAATGTAATTAAGGTCTCATTTGAGATAACTTTTTTTACTGCTTTATAAAGTAGTTTTTTAGTACAAATATTCCTTGAACTAGAAATTTTTGTACTAAAAAACTACTAAGAAAATAGTAAAAAAGCTATCTCAAATGAAGCTTAAATCTTATTGAATAAATTATTTATTATTTGTATCACAAGTAGTTTTAATTTGTATATCATACTATTAGTTTATCCCTGTGTTTAATATAATAAATTATCTACATTATATACTACAGCAAATCTAGTTGTCATATTGTAAGGCACTATATTCTATGTGCATACCGTTGCATGATGCCGCAATCATACCAAAAGACTTTTATTGTCCTTTTCATTCAACACAATCATACCACAATACTTTTTATTGTGTTTTTCATGCTGCAAAGAACTCCCCATCACTATCGCATCACAGACCCTTCAACTGATCTTTTAAGTTTCTTTTCTCATGCAAGGATTGCAACTTAGAGCATAATTGGTATTTCAAAATATGATTTAAGTTAGAATGTGAGTCAAAATTTGTAACTATTACCAGATGAATCTTGGCATGACAGCACAGTTGGTAGTTCAGAATTAATTAAAATAGAATGGATCAATCAAAATTTCTGCCACTGATAAAGTTTTATTTATAGAAAATATTTCATGAATGTCACCCACTATGCCCATTAAATATGAATATCCCAACTTTATCAGTTCACCTGGATTCTTCGAAAAAGAAAATTAGTTCACATAGTGAACTCACTGAATATCACTTCATCTGAAAAAAGGATTTTTTAATACAGTTCTAGCCCCAAAAAGTATTTAAATAAGCACATTGGACCCCAAGTTGAATAATGATGATGGATTACTACCAATGACCAAAACATGACAAGCAAATATGAAGGATTAAAGAATCAAAACAAATTAGCGCCAAATTCATTAATGTTTCAAGATATGCTAAAAGAAACTTCACGAATTGAATAGAAAAAAACTTAAAGAAATCACTGTGCACATAAGTACAATCCATATTAAATAAGAAAACTGAGATACATAAATATATCTAACCCAGCCCAAGCTAAGGTCAGGGAACTTATCAATCCACTCATGTTTTGAAAGAACTATTATGAATAATGTGAAGTTAAAAAAAAATAAAAACTCATGAAAACAGTTGTTTACGTAAATTACAAATTAGTATTAAACCAAACAAAAAATAAAAGTAAAAATAAAAATAAAAACCTCATAGTTGTTAACCACCAGTACATCAAAATCAAAGACGGTCAAAACCAACTGTAAAACTGAGAGCAAGAATATAACAAAGACGTGATTTGATAAGATAGGAACCTGACTCCGTGGAGATTGGTCTCCAAATTGTAGAAACTTGATGCTTCTTGCGCTTGTCCAGTGAACTTTGACCGCCCTTCATCCCCCCAATTATAGAGATGCAGGGTAAACTTCTACCGCAAAGGTAATCCTAGAAAATTGATGATTGTATCAAAACAAAATTGAACATAATATAATGCATCTACCATCACCATGGTGTCCATCAAGCCTAGTTTTAAACTTAGTTATGTCTCGGTCATTGGATTCTCGTATATTCATATTATTGTGAACTCTAAAAGAGTTATGCACTCATTGGGATATTGCTTATGTTCTTTTGGAGTTTTGGGAAGAACAATAGGGGATTTTGGGAGATAATTTGAGTTGAAGTCCACAAAGATTTCCCTAGCTAGTCAACAAGAATTTAGTTTAATTCTAGGAAATTGAAATCTTATGTAGTAAGAGCATGCCTCTCTAGTAATTACATCCTCAATCGTTAAAAAAACACTCAATTAAGGACGCCAACTTGGTTGTCCTAGGTCAAGTTAGTGGACCTAGTCTATCAAAGTTGTAAGGCTAAGAGACACATTTTCCAAAGAGTCTAATTAACAGCTATCGGTTGCTTCTACCAAGTATCCCAATCAAATCAAGGTAGTAGTATCTCGAATGAAACATCCTCCCATGATGAGGTTTTAGGATTTGTCTTGAATCGAAAAGGCTTGAGAGCACTGAGTATGGTTGAACATGATTTAGAAATGTTAGGCATGACCAACAATAGTTCAGGGACTTAGTATGATCGATTCATATTGAAATTGATTTAAGGCGCAAAGCATTGCCATAGGTGACATAGAGCATAACATGATTGATTATATCACAAAAGCATAACATGATTGATTATATCTGCCAGTGGAGTTACTCCAAACTTTTCACATATATGGTTGTTCCATATTCTATCTCTAAGAGTAAAGCCACTTATTCACCTAAGCATCCTCATCTATGCAACACTTAATCTTACACTTCTCTTTTACAGACCAACATTATGTGTCATAAAGCATTACAGGTCTCACCACTATCTTATAGAATTTTCACTTAAGTTTGAGGGGTACTTTTCTATCACACAACTGGCCCGATGCATTCCTCCACTTCAACAATCCAACTTGAATTCTACTAATAATATCCCCATCTATTTCACCATCACTTTGAACAATAGACTCGAGATATCTAAAATGAGTACTCTTATTAATGACTTTATAACCTAAAGTCACAATCCCCTCACTAGAGCTATTACTACTAAAATTACACTCCAGGTATTATGTTTTAGATCTACTCAAAGGAAAACTTTTAAACTCTAAGGTTGACCTCCATAATTCAAGTTTACCTTTAACTCCCTCTCTAGTCTTATCAACAAGAAGGATATCATCAGCAAAAAGCATACATCAGGATAAAACGTCTTGCAAATCTCTAGTAAGAACATCCATGACTAGAGCAAAAAAATATGAGCCTAAAGTTGAACCTTGAACACAAGTAAAAGCTCTTGCATACATACCTTAATGACTTGAATATAAGCATTAAACCCATTCTTTTCTAGAACTCTCTAGAGCACTTCTGTTGGAATTTTTTTCATATGCTCTCTAAATAAATAAATATCATATGTAGATCCTCCTTATTCTCTCTATATTTCTCCATCAAGCTGCTCAATAAATGTATAGTGTCCATAATAGACCATCCTGTATAAATCCAAATTGATTTTGAAAAATATTAGTATCACATCATAATCCATGCTCAATAAAACTCTACCATAGTTTTAAAGTGACAATTAAATTAATTCCTCTATAATTCGCACACTCTTGTGAATCACATTTATTCGTAAAAATAGGATCAGCACACTCTTTCACTCATTTGGCATCTTTTTAGTATTCAAAATAACATTAAAAAGATTCATAAGCTAAGAAATTTCTTCATCTTCAAAGCATTTCCACATCTCTATTGGAATATCATCAGGTCCAACAGTAGTTGCATACTTCATTTTCTTTAAAGCCTCTCTAATGCAGAACTACGTATGAATGCAATCAAATGGCTAGGAAGTTGCACAATCCTTGATTAGAATAAAAGTGAATTAACTAATTAGCAGTTTGAACGACAAATTAAAATGAATAAGGGAACACACCCGCTTAGGCTAAATCACAAAACAAGAGCTTTGAAACTTTCAAAACAAGTTAGAAAATAACATGATGCCATAATAGTAGTTTCAGATACAATCCCTAATCTAACAATGAAACTAGTTAGCAAAGAGGCACGCTCAAAACCCTACGTTTACTAAGCTTAGATTTAGCAGTAGCAAGGAGAGTCGTCCTTTGTGACTACAATCAAGCACAAGATAGGGTTAGACTAGAGAAATATAATGAAATGGGGAAAAGAGAACCTCTCGTCAAGGAGTGGTGGAGATCCTCCACTCGACGCCTTCGAAGTGCTCGTCGATTTCTTCCACTAAGGTGTCTAGAATACGCTCCAAATAGTCCTCGACAGTATGATCAATCTTTGGATTTACGTCGAAGAAAGATCGTAGAATATCGGTGAAGCCATCCTCATCCCAAGTTAAGCCGTATTCAGTTGCTGGATCCGCCATTCATGGGCGCCGGATAATAAATCTCCTTTCGCCTTCCTAGAGTTCTTGAGGATTGACAAAGAAAAAGAAGTTTCTCTTGCTAGTGAGTGGGATGAGAGCCAAAACTTAAAATCTGAAATAAGTTTCAGATTTTGCAAAGGTGGATAGTTAATTGAGAGAGAGAGGAGATTGGGAGAGAAAGAGGGTGGGTAAGGGAGGCTAGGCCGGCGGCAATGAAGAGAAGGTAGGGAATTGCTTTCCAAAACGTGAGACTTGATTTTAGAAAGAAATAAGGAGGTTTATGGGTGTTTGAAATTTCGGCCAAAGGGGAATAAAGAGGATTTGTATTATTTCCAAAGGAGTCACTTGAGTTTTGGAAATAATTCCAAAGGGGATCTTAATGGGGCTGGCGGCATGCATGGGCAAGGGAGGAATTTAATGCAAGCAATTAAGGTTTCTTAATTTAGGGTTTGATTTAGGAAAGGGTTATTTTAAATCCAATTGTATTTGAATTTCAAATTAGATCCAAAATAAATACTTTCCTAAGATAGATGAATTATTTTAGGAAAGATTTTGAATTCAAATTCAAAGGGAATTGAAATTCAAAATTATCCCCAATTAACTCACATCCAATTAGGAAACTCAAGAGGGCAAAGGGGGCAATAGAGGGAGGAGATGGACGGCGGGGGGGGATGGGGCCTTGGGGCTCGGGTAGTGAATTGGGCCGTGGGATTGAGAGGGGATGAGGAAAGGGGTTGGTCGGTGGTGGAGGTAAGAGGAAGAGAGGGAAAAGGAAGAAGAACCAAGAGCCACCGATGGTGACTGTTGGGTATGACGGGCGGCCTATCCTAGGCTCCACCAAGCTCTCTAACTCTCTCTCTCTCTCTCAAGCTCTCACATAAGCTTCAAGAACACAAGTTCATGAAAATTTTCAATAATCATTCATTACCTTCAAAACATAAAACATGAGGCTATATATAGCCAAGTACAAAGAACTCAAGAAAATAAAAGACAAACTTGCCCTCCGGGCTTAAATACGATGATTCCCACTAAAAGGGTACAATTGGAATGTAATAAAAACAAAATATACGATACTAAAAAATAGAAAATACATGAATAAGAAAATAACATAAATAACTTAGAAATATAAAGACTCGATCGTGATCGTAGATCGGCGGTCACGCCTCTGATAAACCTTCCATGAGTTGATGTCCCCATCACTCTCTAACTTCAAATTTACCAATACGCCGATAAAAATAAATCTCTATTTTCATTTAGGGTGTTATGGTAACTAAAGTCAATCATATTTTCACAATCTTCATTGAAATATCTCATCCATCTTTGTTGAATATCCTCTTTTAATAAAAGCACTTTTTTATCTACATCCTTGATGCACTTCACTTGAATTAAATTTTTACATCTCTTATATCTTTGCTTGGGTAACTTATACATATATCTTTCACCCTCCTTAGTATCTAATCTATTATGTAAATCATTAAAAGCTAAATTCTTTACATCACATCTTCTTTCTTAAACTCCTTGTGAACTTCTTTATATCTTTTCAAAATTTATGAATGTTTATATCAAAACAAATTTTATAACAAAGCTTCTTATTTTTAATCTTTGGTTGTATATTTTAATTCCACCACCAACTATTTTTATTATTAGGAACATTTTATTTTGATACTCTAAGCACATCCCTTATAGCATTTAAATATCACTATTTATTTTTTCCTACATAATATTAGCTTGTTCATGTACAATCAAAATCTTAAGAACTTAAATATTACTCTTAAAAAATATTTATGTTAGTTTTCTTTAAATGCCACCATCTAATCCTAGGACAACATTTAACTTTATTTTTCATACTATGCCATTGATCTTAAAATCTAAAATTAATAAACAGTATTATGTACATAAACTTTCACTCGAACCAATTTTATAACAACTACAATCTAAAAGATCTATTTTTCTTATAAGAAAATAATCAATCTGAATTTTACTATACTCATTCTTATAAGTGATGAGATGTTCCACCCTTTTTTTTAAATAAGGTGTTCGCAATTACAAAATCATAAGCTTGAGAAAATTTTGGTCTTATCACATTCATTAGTCACTCCAAACCCACATCCACTATGCGTGCTCTTAAAACATTCTACCTCTCTACCAATATGTCCATTCAAATCTCCTCCAATAAAAATTCTTTCTTCAAGAGATATCTTTAATATTAATTTTCTAAGTCATTCCAAAATTTTAATTTTTGACACATATCCAAACCTATTCGAGGAGAATAAACATTTATAAAACTAATAATCGTAGCATCAACAATAATCTTTAAAGCTATAATTCTATCTATATTTCTATTAATTTCTATATCATTATCCTTCAAACGCTTATCTATAATCACACCTACATCATTTTTAGTATGACTCATGCCTTAATACCAAAATTTAAATCATAAACTATCAATCTCCTTAGCCTTCTTTCCAACCCATATAATTTCTTGAATGCATGGAATATTTATGGGGAATCATAAGGTCTATTAATTCCATTAATTAGTCTGTAGGAGAACCTATATTACAAGTGTCTATCATAATTCTAGCTTTATGGACTAGCTTATTTGCCTACATTCGTCCATGATATGAGAACCCATGCTTATTTAATACCGCACCTGGGCGCCAGTGTAAAATCGTACCTAGGTATTAAATGATTCATGTCTTCAATAAATTTTACGTTAGTTGGCGACTACTTAACGCAACCCTCCACTTTTCTCATCTAGGGCTTTGGACTTGACAATGGCAACGTTGTCCATATTTAAAGAGTCTAGGAATTAAATTGGAATTTTCAAATATCAAATTAATTACATCTCTCTCAATTCTACGTTGTATAAATAAAACTAAGTGTATATCTTACTATAAGGGGTAAGAAAATTGCAAGATTTTCTGATCTTCTATAGAAGATCGTACATAGGACTAAGAGGAATGATCAGACTACAAAAAGCAAGAGCTCGTGTAAGAGAATCAACTCAAGTGTGAGCTAATAAAGTTTCTCACAATGAGAGGCACCACAAAAACTTATTTGAACTGGATTGAGATTGATATTAGTAGTCTTTCGAAAGCTAGACCCAATCCAAATGCTAAACTAAAGATTTTTCTCAAAATGGATAAGCAAAGGATTATCAAGTTGGAATTGGACTTGATCTCTATTGTCAACCGGAAGATTTTTCTCAAAATGGATAAGCAGAGGATTATCAAGTTGGAATTGGACTTGATCTCTATTGTCAACTGGTGATTATCTCAACACAAGCACTATATCCATTGGGGATATTGGATTTCAAATTGAAGACTTATTTTATTGAAATGATGGAATTAGTTTATCTAAAATCTCCTGAAAAAGAAATATGTAACAATCAAAAGGCATCGATAGAAAGAGGAGAAAAAATTAGCTTCTCAAAAATTTTTTAACGAATATTTTAAAAAACCACAAGATTTATAATCAGATAAACTGACTTGATACACAAATATGACAAGTAGAGGCTATCTCGATTGGGGATGGCTGAGATAGCTTTTAAATGATTTAGGAGGATGAAAATGTACTGAAAGCTTCAAAGTCTTTAAATGGATAGAATAGGTCTATCTACAACCAAATTTAAACAAACACTATTTCTTCTCGGTGTAATGAGTATAGCATTTTCAAAAGATCTACGTAAGAGTGGATTCTTATTAAGGAAGAATTTGTCGAGATAAAGCAAAGAGAATTAGCTTCTCAAAGGTCTATTGAAAACGAAATATATTGAAAAAAACTTCAAAAGACATGCAACTGGATAAATAAAGTTTATCTATAGCCACATTAAATAGAAACTATCTCTACCTAGGAAATAATGAAATTAGTTTCTTAAAAATCTCCAAAAAAAGAGAAATCCAATCAAAGACATCATGATGTGTGACTGGTCAAACTGGATATATACAGTCATTTCTAAGGAGAAGTTCTCCACTAGGAATAACAAGAGTGGACTTCAAAACATTATAAGAGAACATAAATCTATATTTTGTTGGAGTAAACAGAATTAGATCCTCAATGATTTTGCTAGGAGAAAATCTTCTTAAGAAGCTTCAAAATTTTAGTTCAATTGTCATGAATGATTGATCATTATTTTTTAACTTTGAATGATTTAGACTCCTACAAATAGGTTGAACCTTCAATTTAATAGATAAGCATAGCTTGTTTCATAGATACATTCAACGCATAAATCTATAAAAGAAACTTTTGATATTTGATGGAAACTAGAAATGCTACAAGCACAAGGTATATCAAACCAATATCATACCACACCACATTGTAACTAAGTCAACTAAATATTTGAGTAATACTGAAAATGTTACAATTATACAAGAATGGCACATTAAGAGAATTTGTACTAACATAGATTGTAATATGAAACTAGAAATGCATACATATAAATATAGTAAATCAACAAACAACATTACAAGGATTACAACAACTCAAATAACTAGAACAATAAAGTTACTAGTAAGGGACATTCCAGAAGAACACCAATTATAATACTTCTTAAAATAATGCCAGTTGATAAAGGGCATTGAATAAGTATCCTTGTTCACCAATAGGATAAGCTTATGCAAAAAGACTAAATGGTTGTTTTCAATTTGATGTTGAGATGGTTGAAATAGGAATGAGAGATCTATTGTGATTTATCTCTATTACTCGTTCTCTTTAAGTTTTTCTTGTCCAAAGTTTCATCATGGATTTTCCATATTTGGAACTAATTTTTCCATTTTGAGGTTAATTTTCAGCATTATTGCCAGCTTATTGACCATAAGCTTCTTTGTGGCAAATGATGCTATCTTTTTTTAAGTAGGATCCCTCACATATCTTTTCGCCACTCTACCGAGATGAAGACTGGCTTTTAGTGTCGGTGCAAGAGCCATCAACTTAGAGGAGTACCCCATGCTAAAGGACTCATCAACCTCATAGGTTGTAGAACCTTAACGTTTCTGATGTCATCTTAAAAAATAGAATGAAAAGAAAGGAAAATAGAGAATACTTCCGTTTAAAAGAAATAAAAATCTATATATAAATAGGTGGATAAATAATTATCTAGAAAATAAATAAAATTTATAAACTAGTTTTTAATTTTCTAATCCCAAATTAACTGCACAATAGAACTAGAATATTATTGATAGACTGTTGGATTGTTATAGAAGGAAAGTTATTGTCCATGGATGGTTGGATTGTTGCAAATGATAAGTTATTATTCATGAATAGATATAGATGGATATATGATGGACTCCAATTTGAGATTATTTCAACATTGATCCATCATGAAACCTCCATAGCCCATCCTAATGAAATCAGAATACTTATTTAAGTCAATCTAAATAACTATCCTCTCTTCCTTAGATATAAGTAGTACATTCATCCCTTCCCAAAATTAATTTTTGAAATCAATGAAACTTAATGAGCATATGCACTAAACATATTATAAAATCCTCAAAGACAATTAACCCAATAACAAGCATCATATTACTAATGTTATTCGCCTAATAATTCAATCTTCTAACTCTCTGGCTACCAAAATCCCTACCTCATTGTTATTATTAGCCCTCCAAACATACAATATAGTTTCTAACCACCTCCAATAGCACTAAATTACACACTTTTTCCATTTAGTCTCTTGAAAACAAGAGATTAATTCTTCTTAAATTCATTTTGTTCTTTAATTATCTTGTCTTTCAATTCAAAATATAAAACTTTTTCTATCAAATCAAATCTTAAGACCTAGTCAACCATTGCTCAGTTTTCAAAACAATTGAGTTAAGATGTGATGGCGACATCCTAGCCAATTCTTGCCTACTTATCACCATAATCAAGGAAGTTATGGTGCTTCACTTATGAGTGTTGGCCAAGAAAACTTTGGTATAGTTCTCATCATAATTAATTTAGGTCATGGTGTGTCGCGTTTGAAGAATGCCTTGGTACCATCAATCAAAAATAAAAAAGACAACTTCCCTCATCCAAGCTTCAGACTATCAATGGTGATTTTATATTTTTGCTTCTGCGTCCATATACTATAATGAGAGGAAGCATAGATGCATAAAGATGACCACGCTTTCGGGAAAATTTTATAGAATACATAAGCAAAGAGAGAAATGATACAATAAAAGATAAAATATGATATAAACACCTGGAAAGGGTACAACCGAATGCAGAAAGCATTTGCCACGCTGCTTGATAGACGGCTCAATCTGCAAAAATTCTTAAAGGGGATAAAACTATGTTACTTTGACTAAGCAACTTGCTGGACTTTGCAAAAAAATAACTTCTGGTGGGACGAGCATAAAAACCCTAGCATTTAAGAGACGAGGAATAAAACCAGGAAATAAGGCCTTACAGGTATCTCACCGAGAGAATGGAATGCAAGCAATCATCTGCTACGTCTTCAACGGCAAACGGCGCCGACGGTAAGCCTCCTTGTTCGCTAATGACGAGACGGGACAGAACCTGGAACGCAAGCAAAGGGGATGCAAGATTTGAGCAGGGTTTATGCTAAATCCTGTCAAACGGGATTTGATCGCTCCGAAAATCTCACGGCCAAATAAATCCTCCGTTTTGGCTCTTTTTGCCCTAATCCTGGATTTACTAAATCCTGTAGGGGCTGTTTGGCAACAAGTGGGATTTAACTTTAGTGAGATTTAATAAATCCTGTAAATTCGGATTTAGTAAATCCGAAATGTGTTAAATCCTAAAAACTGTTTGGTATGTTAAATGTTAAATCTTGTTAAATCTTGAGAAACTGTTTGGTAACATATATCAGGATTTATGGCGGTTAGGGATTTAAATTTAAAGGAGATATTTATGAAATTAAGATCATTGCATAAAACATAATAAAATTAATTACAAACTAACATGGACCAAAATCAGAGTTTAAATATTAAATATGCTAATTATATTAATATTTAATTACTAATTATATCATTAATTATTCAATTAAGTTAAATTAGATAATTAATTTATGCACTAATTCAACTATTAATTATTTAATTAAATAACTTAATTATTATTTGTTTAAATTATATAAATTAAGTTAAACGATAATAACTTTGAGGCGTCTAGGGTTTATATTTCATCTTTTCTTTTCGTCGTTGTTGTTCGGCTTCGTTGATTCGCAGGAGGTGGACAGATTGCGCGCGTCGCTACTTCGGTTCCTTCGTGGCTGTTCGACTTCGCTCCTTCGGCTTCGTTGATTCGCAGGAGGTGTACAGATTGCGCGCGTCGCTACTTCGGTTCCTTCGTGGCTGTTAGACTTCGCTCCTTCGACGACCTTCCCTTCTTGTTGGATCGGAAGTTACGACATTTTGATCGGAAGCAAGAACAGGAGCTCGCTGGCTGTGAAGGTAACTTTCTCCCTTTCGCGCGCTTCTAATGTTAAATCCCGTTAAATCCACCGAAACGAGGGATTTAGTAAATCCGGGATTTAAGCCGTAAATCCGTAAATCCGGGATTTACGGAATCCTGGGATTTAACGCGCGCACAAAAACCGTTTGGCTGGATTTAGCGTAAATCTGACTTAAATCCCATGATAAATCCGATACCAAACAGCCCCGTAGTTTGGCGGATTTATGGGAATTGGCCGAAGAAGCGCACGAAAAGGAGAATGTTACCTTCACAGCGAGCGAGCTCCGGTCATTGCTTCCGATCAAAATGTGCTAACTTCCGATCCGACAGGAAGGGAACGTCGTCGAACGAGCGAAGTCGAACAACAACGAAGAACCGAAGCAGTGACTCGTGCAATCTCTACAACTCCTGGGAAGCAACGAAGACGGGAACAATTATTACCTCAGGTGACCTGACTTGCTCTATGTTCCGACGCAAATAACATTTGGTCACGTCGTATTATTGAATACCGTGTGACCCGATCACTTGAATCGGAATTGCTACGTTCGTATATTGCTCGGTATTGTTCAGTATTACTAGGTAATTGTTGCGTCCTGGAATATTCGCGGCGGCAGAGAAATATATGGTTTAACGTCTTAGCATTGTACGAAGATCCAGCACACAAGCAGATAAGTGAAGGGGTGAAATATTCATAAGAGACACCAGAGTTTTTACGTGGAAACCCCTTAAAAGGGGGGAAAACCACAGGGCTTGGCCCAGTTTGAATGAATCCACTAGTGCATGTAATTGATTACAAATGAAGCCCATCCTTAGGAGGAAGGCCTTGGCTCGAAGTAACAAATATACATCATATAAAATGTATTGCATGGTGGAAGTTGGAAGAATCAATGTTGATATGTTTGTTTGGGGCGGCAAACCATAGTCGACGAGTGATGTAGATTGGAAGAACCATATTCGGTGGGTGACGGAGGTCGGAAGGATCGTATTCTGTGAGCGACATAGGTCAGAAGAACCGTTGTATTGTGACGGAGGTCTGGAGGATCGTAGTCACCGGGTGACGGGGGTCGGAAGGACCGTTGTCGGTAGACAACAAAGGTCAGAAGGATCGTAGTCGGTGGGCGACGAAGGTCGGGAGGACCGTAGTCGGTGGGCGATGAAGGTCGGGAGGACCATAGTCGACGAAGAATGTAGTCAGCAAACGACGGAGGTCCGAAGGACCATAGTATGCAAACGACGGAAATCGGAAGGATGGTAGTTGGATGACAGTGGTTGAGAGGACTGTAGTTGGCGGACTAGCGGAAGTCCTGCGGTGATCGACAGACTGGTAGAATTCCGATGGCGGATGACAAACTATGTGAGCCTGAGGATGGTCGGCGGGCAAGCGGATGTCCGGCGGCAGTCGATGAACTGGTAGAAGTCCGACGGCGGTCAGAGGACGGGTGGAAGTCTGGCGGCGATCGACGGACTGGCAGAAGTCCGTCAGTGGTTTGCGAATTGGTGGAAGTCCGACGTCGGTAGACGGACTGGTAGAAGTCCGTCAGTGGGCAATGGTTGGGCTGAAGTCCAGCCGCGGTCGGTGAGCTGGTGGAAGTCTGAAGGCGGTCGACGAACTGGCAGAAGTCTGTCGGTGGTTTGAGAACGGGTGGAAGTCCGACGGCGGTCGGAAAGAACTCCGGAGGTGGTCGACAGGAAATTTGGTGGTGGTTGGCAGGAACCCCGGCGGTGGTCGGCAGGAACTCCGGTGGTGGCCGGCAGGAATTCCGGTGGTGGTCGGTTGGTACTCCGGCGGTGGTTGGCAGGAACTCTGGTGGTGGCCGGCAGGAATTCCGGTGGTGGTCGGTAGGTACTCCGGCGGTGGTTGGCAGGAATCCTGGCGGTGGTCGGCAGGAACTCCGGCGGTGGTCGATGGCAAGAGAGCTCCCAAATTCCTCCATTTCTTCTCTTCTTCTCCCTCTTCCTCTTCCCCTTCATGTGAAGAATGAGGGCCTATTTATAGTTTTTTGAGAGTGGCATGGGTTGTAAATATGTGGAGGACCAAGGGCAAAATGGGAGTGTTTGAATGGACGGCCGATATTGATCCCCTTGATCATGGACTGTTTATTGGTCAATTGGATGCCTTAACTATTTCAGAATTAAATGATCTTGGGCTCGTTGGATTCGTATTTCCGAGACGCTCAGTTTGACTGTAAGCTCGCTGAAATCGGAGTTCAGGTGCTCCCGAATTTAATTTTTGAAGTTTCCAACTTGATTTTTGCCTCGAGATTCGTGCCTGATCAAGTTAATTTTTGGTGACATATCATTTGTCCCCCTATTTTCGAACGCCAGTGCTTGTAGAGTCCTAAAATATATATTTGTACTTTTATGAGCTTCTTGTGACTGATAATATTATTATAATGTTAAGCGTATGATACATTTAGACTTTTGCTTCATTTTTGTTTAATAGGTGATTAATATACTTCTATTAAACAAATTAGACGTATATATATCTATAATAAAATTTTACAAATAATATCTTAATCATTAGATCAAATAACATTATGAATTATGTCTAGTGTTTATGTAGATTATTAATAAATTGAGGATTTCATCTTCCGTTATTATGTTTATGATAACTTTTAAGAAGTTATTCATTAATGCTAAATTGTTGCAGGCCAATCTAATATTTGAAGTTATAACTGTATAGTATTAAAAGAATAATGTGTACACTAGTTTTCATGTAAGCCATGACGTCTCCCCCTTTTTTTTTTTTTTGGCCGTTAGGCCTTCTGCCTCAGATTTTAGAAAAAACCGAAACTTTTATTATCATAGCAGCTACGCCACCATATATTTTGACTTTTTAAATTCCCAAAAATTTCAGAAATTTAAGTAATGACTTTTTGAATTCTTATATTTATTTATATGTTAAATGACAATAATAAATTATTGTCTCTTAAAATTCCCAAAATTATTTATAGAAATTTCTAGAGAGACTTTTCATCTCCCCTCATGTAACTATAAATACCTCCTTTGGTGGAGAATGAAAGGCACAATCCCTTGTGCCGGTCCAAGCCCTCTCTTTGGATTGGTAGCTCGGAGATTGTCAGCGGCGATCAAAATCTTGCTCTCTTGTGCTGGTCCAAGCATTCATCTGGATTGGTAGCTCGGGGAGCGTAGGTGGCGATCAAAGCGAACATTGGTGGCGATCAAAGTCTAGTTCTCTTGTGCCGGTCCAAATTTTTTTTTTGGATTGGTAGCTCGGGGAGCCTAGGTGGAGATCAAAGTGAACATTGGTGGCGATCAAAGCCTGGTTCTCTTGTGCCGGTCCAAAATTTTCTTTGGATTGGTAGCTCGGAGAATGTTGGTGGTGATCAAAGCTTTGCCCTCTTGTGCCGGTCCTTTTGTGGATTGGCAGCTCGGGTGCCGACGACAATCAAAGCATTGCCCTCTTGTGCCGGTCCTTGTGTGGATTGGTAGCTCGGAGGGCATTGATGGTGATTGAAATTTTGCTTTATTGCAAAAGTTAGAAACAACCCAACGGTGGCCTTCCTTGGGGAGAGATTCAACGATTATAAATCGATCCTTTAATGCATGGAGTATGGCAATGAAAGCCTCTTGAAAGTGGTTAGGTGGTATTCCGACGTTAGAGAACAGACGATGAGCTGATGATGATAATTAAGCTGCATTTTGTTGAAGATAGAATGTATGCATGATGACGGGGGCATATAACTAACAATTTGATGGTGGGGGTCAAATATTGTGTCAACCGCAACCCTCTAAGGATGCTAGTGGAGGCCTATCGAGGATTTAATCCTTCTTTGAAGGAACCAAGAAGTGCTTCGAAATGCTTCAGGGAAGAGGTTGATGGGATCCATCAAAGATGTTGAACTATGTGAAGTGGTCCAGGAAAGCCTCCAAGAATTGTTTATCTATCCAAGGTTCTTGTCAAAGCGTTGCTTGACTTGTATGAAAAATGTTGAGAAAATCCATCAAGGATGAATGACCTATCCTAGGTTATTTGTCAGAGCTTCACTCGATGACGTTAACCTGTATGGAAGAGGTCGAGAAAATCCACTATGGATGTTTGATCTATCCGAGGTTGTTTGTCAGAGCTTCACTCGATGACGTTAACCTGTATGGAAGAGGTCGAGAAAAACCACTATGGATGTTTGACCTATCCGAGGTTGTTTGTCAGAGCTTCACTCGATGACGTTAACCTGTATGGAAGAGGTCGATGGAATCCACTAAGGATATTTGA